GCCCCGGCCCCCGCGCCACCACCACCCGTAGTCATAGAACCTCCCCCTCAACCCGCAGAAGAACTCCCGGAACACAGACATAAGAAAGAGAAAAAGAAAAAGGACAAACACAAACACAAGGACCGTGACAAATCTAAGGAGGAGAGAAAGAAACATAAAAAGGATAAGGAGAAGCGGAAAGAGAGTCCCCCGCCCCCGCCGGCGGAGACGCAGCAGGACGGAGCGCTGAGGATAACTATACCCAAGGAGAAGTTGTCGACGAGCCCGGGACTTAAGATCAAGATCCCGAAGGAGCGGCTGGCGGCGCCGCCCCCGCCGCCGGCGCAGTCGTCGAGCCTCAAGATCAAGATCTCGCGCGACGTGCTGGACGCGTCCCGCAAGCGCGGACCCCCGCCGGCCGCCGGGCCTCCGGCCGGGCCCCCGCACAAGATGGCACGCCACAACGGAGCGCCGCACAAGGTAGGCCCCTCGTGGAATGTCCGTGTCCCCACAGGCGCGTTCCGGCCGCCGCTGCCATACTATATGGTGCAGCCGCCGCCGCCGCTCTACTTCGGCGTGCCGCTCGACAGCTACTACTACGGCATGTACTCTGCGCCCCCGCCCCGCGCCGCTCCCCCGCAACCCCCGCAGCCTCCCCTACCCGCGATGCCTCCACCCCCCGTACCCCCTCCTCCTCCAGAGTAATGTCACAAACTAGTTATAAGTAGTTTTTATCGCTAGTTCATCTTGTTAAGCTGTTTTGTTTATCGTCAGGTGTACCTAATATGTTTGAAAACTATATCCAAAATATCCTACAATTTTTGATCTGCATTTACTCCTAACTTTTGCCAATAAATCAATTTTATAATAATAAAAGACTGAACTCATCTTGACGGTGAACTCCTCAGCTTCTATCAAGCTTTTCTCATTGGTCAGTCAATCACAAATCAGAGTGCCTAGTGCGATTTTGTTTTACGTTAACGCATCGAGTCATTTATGACGTTGCGCGCTCTGATTGGCTACACCAGTTTTACCTAACCAATTAGAGGGCTAAACGTGGTAATGTTCCAATCGCTTTAACGTAATAACAAGTTTTTTAACCAATAAGGGTAATTTAACTGAAATGTGATTCACTTTAGACCTGTATGCAATTTTTATATGGGAAGTGGTTAGTTTTAATAGTAATTTGTGTCAAAATGAAGACTTTTTCTTTAAACTAAGTTGATTTGTAAATATTTTAGATATTGAATTTAATTGATTTATAGTTCAATGGTGAATTAAAGTGTTCAACTCGTGCTATCGATGAGACTTAGGTAAAAGTGCCGTGGTTACAGTTGGAATGGAATCATTCTTTTTTTCCTATAAAATAACTTCATTTAAGCCTTTGACTGCCGACAGAAAACTGTTGAGGGTAAATCCTCCGCTATCGTGGCCCATATCTTGTCCCCCATGGCGTACAAGGTGTTAAAAACAAATTCTGTTCTTTGTTCTACTTATCAGACCTTACTTCAGTCTATCATGCTACTAATATCGTCTTAACTGATCAATCCCCAAGCGATCACCGGTGACCACTCTCCACTAAATCCATTATATACCTTATTTCCGATGTTTAGAGACAAATTGGGGATTAATATCAGGTGATGTACGAGTTTATTTAAAACATTTGTCTTCCTATTCCAGTGAGTATTAAAAAATACTAAAATATTGATGTCATACATTTCACCAAAATGGTTGTCATTGTCACAAATACCTTAATTGTTCTAGTTTCTATCAAGGAGTCTCATATTTTCTGTCTATAATTCAATTATTTCACTGTTATGAACTCCTTAAAACAATTCTCTTCGCAGTATAATAATTTTCTAAACCAACTGTAACCATAGCAACCAAACCAACAAACAAACAAAGTTGCCAAATTAGCCTAACTATAATGTCTTTAAGGCAACTATTTACACATATTTTTATCACAGAAATATAGACTTTATTGTAATTTATATATTATGTACAATGGTTTAATCGTAACCAATATAGTTTGTGATTTTAAAGTTACTTTACCACTTTTGGGTTCAATTTTGCTTGCACTTAACCGGTTGATTTTCCTTATTAAAATTTGATTGCAAAAGTACTTCAGTCATTTTCTGTATGATGATATTTATTATCTGATATCTGGTAAACGAGTAGACGTATCACCTAATGGTAAGCAATCCGCGTCCCTCATGGACGGAACACCAGAGGTGTTACAAGTGCATTACCAGCCTTTTCGGGATTAGAAATTTGAGGATTGTTGGGAATTCGGTAGATTGGTGGTAATTTGGCCTCCGATATACCCATTGGTCCATATTTAGATAAAACAGCTCAGTCAGATGTACCTACCCCTTTAGGGAAGGTAGTTAGCGGTTTTATGTAAATCAGGTTTTTGATATCGTAATAAAGATAAAATAGAAAAAATATCTAAATATCTAATAGAAAAAGTCTCCTAGTTACTTGTTAACATTTAAACTTCGTTCGAACCTAATACAGTTATTATTAGCCAAAACTCAATATAAATATCATAGGATCCCGTTAATTCTATCACTCATTAATTATTTGTACAATAAACCACCATTAATTAACTAATTCTAAAATACTTCCGAGAAATATCACCCCTCAACATAGGCCTCCCCAATGACTTCTATTAGTGGTAAAGAATTTTTATAATCACAGATATTATAGCCCAATCAGTACTTAATATAAATAAATTAAAACTCTTGAAAGAAATTTATGTATACATGCTTAAAATCATCGTATAATTAAAACTTCTGAATATAACTTACGTACAAAATATAGGACTTCACATCATATTTACAGGGCCAATATATACGTGTATTTTTATATATATATGTAAATTATACAATATTATATAAACTATATTATATCAGATCTCCAAATAATAGATAGATAGTAAAATTATAAAAAATATATTTATAAAGTGTTAAAGTATATTCGTGTTTGCTAAAGTACATTATATTTTGTAAATACAAGCTTTTTGCTATTCCAAATCGCTTTAAAGCTAGTTCTTATTTAAATATTTATCAAAAATATAAAATATATTTACATATTTCTATTTACATCACTATTATATGTGACATTTATTGTTAGGGAACTTTGACTATTTTATGTAGAAAATTATAGTTATTTTCTATAAAATAACATTCCAGAATAGACTTAAAACATATATTCCAATAACATTTTGACATGTTGATATAGATTTATATTTATATAAAAATATAGCAAAATTTATTTATTTATTATAAACTTATACAGCTGCTGCTTCACATAAATAAATATAAAAAATAATTTTAAAAAACATCTGAAAACATACCATTTCAGCTTTAATTTAATAATATATTAGATTGACATGTTACTCCTAAAGTTTATTTAGTGCTATAAGAACTATGTACAGTGTGGATACGGGACGCTATCGAAACGCTGACAAAGAGAAATTGTTTTACAATTTTAACTGTTTTTCTTTTCGTGTTATTGAGCTTTGAGCCGTTAATTACAACCATTATTACATAATCATATTTGTAATCACAGGTTTGTGTGTCCATTACATTTAGATTTAAAGTTGTCTAAAGAGCCTCTGCGCTGGTTTCGGCCCCTCGTACACTTCCCAAATGACCCGGTCATTTGTATAATAACAATGACCCGGTCATTTGGGAGGTGTGGCTTTACAATTCACGGGACCCAGTATACATACTTGTAATTATCTTTCAAGGAAATAATCATTTAATTCCTTACTTATTTTTTTTTCACCGTCACCTGTCGGCGTTTTTCGGGCGTTCCGTTTACACCTTATATAGAATCGCTTGCTCAGAACATGATCAAAAAACTAAAAAAAAAAACTTTTACAGGGTTTAATGTTTAATAGTCCTTAATCTTGAGCTTTTAATTTAAAGCGAGTATTATGGAATTGTTGTTGTTATTATACAATTGTTTTCGTATATAGAAATTGTAATATGTTAGTCGATTTTCACTGTCTTGAATTATATTGTGTTATAGCATTTATACCATATCTAGCGAAAATTCATTGGTGAATAAATCACACAATTGTTATGGTCAAATCAAATCGTCTTCATTGTGGACTATATAGGTAATTAGGTATGCATCATAAATACAGTGCCTTTAGCGAAATGCCATTTTAACGCTTGTCTACAAAGAGAGTAGAAATCAAAATGTATGGGGATGACACTGACAAGTGTCAAAGTTTACGTCAATTCCTTATAATTTAGTTTTCTACTCTACAAGTAGACAAGCGCTAAATGGCATTTGGATACAGCTGCAGGTCTTAAATAATTAAAATAAGTTCAGCTATATTCCGCCGTTGAGGCATACAATAATAAAATACAAATCAGAATTTAAAACAGTCATATTAGTATCGATACATGTTGACTATGACTTAAATAAAAATTCTATATAATTTAAAAACTATTATTTAGTTTCAGTTAATTGTACTTTGTTCAAATAATAATAAATTAGGTACTTAAAGTAAAACATGATTTTTAACACTTAACGTGTTCACAATAAAGTACCTCATTTTTTGTCTTAGTCTAACAGCTATGTACGAAAACAGTTGTATATATATATTTATATTTTTTTTGTAAATTTTGTAAATAAAAAAAAGAAAACATCTGATTATGGTGCCATTGCTGTTACCATTTTTTTACTATATTAGAGTTAATTTTATCATAATTACTTATATAAAATATAAATAAAAAACTTATATTTTTGATATATTTTGAAAGCAAAGTACTTAAAACTTGTTCATTTTTATAAATGACAAGTTGTTATACTTGTGTATGTTTATAGTTTGTTGTATAGTTTAGAATGTGTTGTATAATTATATAGTTATATTATAATGCTAGTTCGAATCACTATGTGACAGTATGCAGTGATTATTAAGATATATAATTTCTATAATTTGAAACAAAATCACCTCATTCATTTTTATAGTTATGTTAAGATCTTAGAGGCTAAAACTATTTTTAGTTGTAACTTTTTTTATATTTTTATATACAGATTTATAGTAATAATAGATTATATTTTTGAATATATTCTATTATTAGTCCATAAATCGATAAATTTCTTCCAAAAATTGTTTTCTTTAAATCTTGAATAATCATTTCATGTGTTGTTTATAAGTACATAGTTTAAATTGATTCTGATTTATAATATAAATCAGTTTCTGAAAAATATTTTAAGTTTTGTCGGAAGGTATATTAGGGAGCTGTGACATGGTGTTTGTAAAGTTGATAGTTTAGTTTTTTTAAGTTTAAGCCGTAAATCGACACTTATTGACTCATAAAAGTACTTAAAAAATCATTATATATAATATATAAGTTACTTAATTTATAAGTATAAAGTTTAATTACAAAAAAACTTGAATTATAGAAGAAATATTGACATGATTAGTTTTTGACATAATTTAGTAATACTCTATAAATCTAATGACTTTTGAATAAAAAATCTGAAACAAATACTTTTTTTATATATCGTTTTTGTTTCTAAAGTGGTTGTGTCGATGTATGTCTTAACAAAACTGAGATTACCATAAAGAATTTCATACATAGTTGTTTTTGTAAACTAGTTATTAATTAAATCATTTTAGTGTAAGTTGAATCTATCGAATTTATTGTTTTCAAAACGATTTTTTATTTAATTAAAAAGTATGATTTCGTAATTTGAAGAGTTTTGCATTTTATTTGAATATAAATTAACCAGAACACTAATATATACAGCAAAAAGGCAGTTTTCAAATCTAATTTAACCTCTTTTATTACAAAATACAATAATTTTGTTTTTTATATGTGAGAAAATCTAATTCACTTTAAAAATGGTGGAATTTATTAACTTTACATAAAGAAATACACACAGCCTTGCAAAACCTCCTTTATATTACAATTTCAATGAAAATATAATAGTATAAAAGGCACACACAAAGCCTTAGATAAAAATACCGCATACCCCACACAAATAGTGTCAAAATTCAACAATATAAATATTAAAATTAATTGAAAATATAAGCATGTCCTAATAAAAATGCAGTAAAAAAAGGGATCAATGTTTCTAGTGTTCAATACAATTAAAATTGAAATATAGTATTATTTTAACTCCATTTTGTCGATATTTTGATACTATACGAGTGGTTCTGCGGCAGTTTCCTAATAGTCAAATTCAATAGTTTTAACGAAATGTCGAAACGATATTCTTCTATAAATGTTGTATGAAATAACTTGTGACGTAATAATTTGCGCGTCAAATAGAAACTTGTTTTTAAATGTTAGTTACATAAAATCTTAAATTCAATCAATGAAAGTATGATTTTTTTAAATGACGTAATTTGTTTTTGACTAAGGAAACTACACATTGATAAATATATTTGTAACGGAAAATAATGTATTAATTTAGTTTTTAATGCATGATGATGCTTTGACGTTTTTATCATTACACCTGGTCTGTGAAATGGCACCTTTTTTTTTTCAAACTATTATTTAGCTGTTATATTTTTTTTCTAGCGACTTTTTATTTTTTTTGTATATTTTTTCTCTTGTTGTCTCTGATTTCTGTTTTAATTTTTGCTTTTTTATTGTCATTTTATAGATTTTTAGATAAAATGGTCGGTCATGGAACAGTGATTTGTCATTTTATCATGAATTTGTTGTTTTTTTTTTGTATATTTTTATTCTATATTTTGCGGAAATGGAGACGTTTTTATGACATTTTTTGTACATCTCTATGCGTGTATAGGAAATGTATGATGAAGTATTTTCTGTGTATTTTTTTTATTTTTTTTTTTGTTGCCGACAATGTAAACTTTTTGTCGACTTTTTTTCAGCCGAAAGACTTGAACAACATTTGACAAATGTCTGACGGCATTTTTTGTACAGTTTTGGCGTATTTGTGAACATTGAATTCACTTTACTTTTTTTGTCATAGCATGCCGATTGCACGATTGTTGGGCAACAGTCGCGCAACAGTTGCCCAACACTCGCGCCATTCGTGCAATTTTTTTTACGAATACGCTCTTAAACTGATTTGATGTTTAAATGTAACAGCTAAATGATAGCTTGCGCGCAGCTGTGTATATCGTGACCTCCTGGGGCTCAGGACTTTTTCAAAATATAACGCACACTTTGAAAAAGTCTACGTTGGGTTGCAAACGCACATTATTTGCTGGGTACCCTCGCTTTCTAAATACCCTGGTGGCGGGAGGCACATGACAATTCGGATCAGTTAATACCAACGCCATGGACTCTATACATACTCTAAGATTTTTGCCCCATGTATATGAGTATTTCTTTACTGTGACAATATCGAAAGTGCGAGAAAAGTCTGTACTAACATCTCTCATGGAACTTGTACGTTTTTCGCATTTATTGAATATTGTTGCTTGTAAAATTTACTCGTATATTTGGACCCGTTTTTCTAAGAGTATGTAATAGATCTCAGTTAGACGTTGGTATAACAAACCGAGCTGTGGATGTGTATAAAAGAAACACACAGCGGTGGGGTTCAAACGATTTATTTTTCACTATTTTCCGTAGTTATTTCTCCTAATTAGTACCGAGTTTTGTACTGATATGTTAGATTGATATAAACGGCCCATCGCTGTGCGTGAACCTTGCAGCCTCATTAGGAACGACGACACACGGCTGTGCGCTCAACTCGTCGTACGGTTTCCAGGTCGTCGAGCCGGCGTTGGGCAACGGTCACGTGGGCAAGTGACGTCACAGTACAGAGCCAAGCCCACGGTAGCTTCGTGTGTCGACGTTTCTCAAGCATCAACTATCGGACCTCAATAGTGTAGTGTAACTACGGTTAACGTTTTTATTTTTCACTGTTTAACTTTTTTTTTCTACTCTTCTTGTTTCTAGACGCACGGTTTTGGCTCTGCTTGTGATTCTTTTTTTTAAATTCAAATCACGGGCGCCTCGTCACACGTCACAGCTGTGTTTGAAGCCAGTATGTAGTTTTGTTTATCGGGATAACGTTGTAAATAAAACCTGCGCGGTTGTGTCGTAGTTTTGTAATAGACTGATTTTTTAGAGCCAAAACCGTGATGTTCGTGGCGGGATTTAGGTGCGGGGTTGCTAGCTACACTAATAAAACGGCTTTTGACGCCGTTCCCACCATATTGGGATTTAATGGGCTTGATATTAAACGTGTATGAGTGTCAGTTTAGCGGATACAATCACCTAAACAATGTAAAATAGAATAATCATACCTTTTAAGTGATGACATTGACTTCTAATTTACGCTGGAGAGGTATAGTCCACTTTTCTAGTTCAAGTGCTATTTAACACTTCACACGCCTAATCTGACACTAATATACCTCCCTTTTCGACGTAAAATCGGCAGCCAATCGAAAATTGCCGAACTAAAAAAATCGGAAACAAAACTGACAAAAAAACGCAATTTTCCGGTTGGCTGTCGATACTGACTGTTGTTTGTAAAATGGTGAGATTTTTTTTGAAATAATTTATATGTAAGTGTATATTTTGTAGGTAATTAGGGCCTGCCTAGACTCTTATAGTATTTTTTTTCCTATTTCTGGCTGGCCCATACTTATCGTGCGATGCGGGCTCAGTGACATCGGCAAACTTCGTGGAACCCGATCTTACCCGAATCGAAAATATGACATCTTTAAATGCAGGTGTCACTAAGATCCACATTGTTGCAGTGTCGATAAATTTATTATACTATATATATCGATACTCTACGATAGAATGCTTACTTTATGTATATGACGATTCTTATGAATAATTCTGATTAGGTGTTAAAAAAATTAATTAAAAAAGAAAAATACAAAACAAAAACATGATGACGTAGCGACGTGTGATTGGGAGAATGAATTGAGAAATAAATAATAATTTAAAAGCAAAAGCGATGTATAGGATATCAGAAAGTTTAGCTTAAGACTTTGTTAGGTAGACAATTGTGAAATTTTAATTAATTTAGTATCATTTTAGGGTTGTTGCACACCGGCGATAAAGGCCGCGACTTTTTCGTGCGACTCGTCCTTCTAATACTGTAAATTCAACGAATAGTCCGTAAGTTTGTGTTGTTTCGCATTTAGTGTAAAATTGAGCAAGTGTAAGAATATTTTGTACAAGTAATTATAAAAATAAATATCATAGTTATAATTGGTTCCCTTTTAATTGTAATTTTAAGATGTTATTATAACGGAGCTTAATGATTAATTAGGAAAGTAGTTGGGTTTTATTTCAAATTTTTTCGTCTTTATTTTTATCACTTGAAGCCTTTGAGCTTCATACTTTGGGCTGATATTTAAGACCGATAAACGAATAATATTTAAAGTGTGTTTTTGTTAGAGAACGTAGCGTTTTATATATACTGTATTGCAATTGTACTAACATATAACCAAAACTTACAATCGCGCGACAAATCGCCGAAAAAGTCGCCCGACACGTCAACAGCCCGATTTTTTTATTTTTTAGTATCTAGCGATTTGTTATAGAGAAGTAATTGTTATTATTTTCCCGTAAGGCTAGGTCGCTGTAAGTGTAAATAGTAAATAAAACGTATTATTTTGATGTGTCTAGGTTGACTAGCCTTCGCACCTGGAACGTTGTACTACGGAATAACGTACCGCCCGTTCGAACAAAGAGCGTGTTTAGATTTTGTAGAAAATTGGGGATTTTAACGACTATGATAACCATATAGTAATTATATGGGTCAGTTTTATTTTACCACTATTTTGGCTTCGGTAAAACGTGTTTACGCATATTTTCCCACTCATAAAACGGGTAATTTAGACAATTATAATGTAATCACGGGTCTATTTATGATTTTATAACCTTTAGTGGGTGGTAAATTATAAGTATCACTGTTATTTTTGTAATGAAGTTCAAATTCAGTACATGCTTATTAAAGTTGAGCGATTAGTTGCTCAACAGTTGCACTACAATCCCACAGTCTGAACACGCTCCAATTTAGTCAAATTGTATTTATGGAAACACAATGAAGGAAAAGTAATTTTTGTATAAATATATATAAAACGGTTAAAAAAAAGAATAACAATAACATTATAGCAAAACATCGGCCAAGTTTCTTAATATAATTATGCGAAAAATTTTTAAAGATAAAGAAAAATGTGATATAAATGTTTTCATTCAGGTGTATAATGGTTGTAAACATATATCTATACGTAAGTTCATTTTATAATGGTACCCTTTCATTTAAAATGTTTTTAGTCCAGTTTTTTAATGAACTGTTACTGCGAAAAATTTCAAACCACCCTAGACTTATAATCGGCTTGCGCGACAACCTGTGCCCTATAAGGAACGTATATTTCATCCGTCTTATGATGACAATAGCTTCGTCAATCATATACAAAATATAATTATAAATTACCGTTGAATATACTGACGAACAATGTATTAATTTTTGTTGGCTGACAAAAGCATCATCTTTCATCCAACAGTTAAAATCAAAAATAAGTTTTGATGTACTAAAGTGCCTTTTGTTCTGATATTATTTTACTTCAAATTGACAGTCAAACTTAATTCACAAATCGATTCAAAGACTGGACTGAAAACAGATTAAAATCAAAACATAAACGAAACGTTGTGGTAGCCGAAGCTTTCTACAATATATACTTACATTAAATTCTGTAGTTCTTTGTAAAATTAACTTTATTAACATAGGCTATAATGATCATATTCAGTTAACATGACACAGACCAAACATTAGCATAAAGTCCATAGTTCGTAGTCTAATTCAATGTAGATAGTGTTCAAATTTCATATTATATCAATGCTAGATATTAAAGAGGAAGGTAGGGCCATATTTTTCACATACTGTATGTAATTGGGTAATTTCCTTAGTCAAAACGAATTGTTTCAATGATTATTTCAAAAAAGATGACACTTTCATTCATTGACCTTGACAATATACTTAATAATAGATTTTTCAGTTAACATTTTAAAGTATAACATCAACTCGCAAAAAAAATTTTGAATTTTTGACGTTTTCTCATCCATACATAGAAAAAGAAAAATAACTATTCAATTTGACTACATGGAAACTACCCAATACTTATTTTTTTTATAAAAACATAAAGGTTAATTTTACAAAAACTACAGTACAAGCTTACAAAATAGTGTTTATACGAAATAATATAATATGCAATACTCAACGGTTTGCCGTGACAAGAAGAGTTTGAATTCAAACCGACCGGTTGTTGACTAGAGAAGGATTTTGGGTGAACTCATGGAAATTAAATGTACCAAAATAATATACAAGCCTTTAAATCTAGCTTGTAGTGTAAAATCACTTATTAAATGATCTCTAAATATGTTAATATACCTTCAATGCATGTGTGGCTTCCCGATTTCTTTAAGTTGTAGAATGATAAGTTGCGCGACCAAGTTGATACCAGGTCAAATAATGTAACTGTATACATTTTGTTGATCGTGCGACCGAAATGATAAACGATTTCAATCCGAAATATGATTAAAAATGATTTTGGACATTAGTTACATTATGTCTATCAAAAATCTAGATCGATTAACGCTCATAACTAAAGGACGTTAAGAAAAAGACGGACGTAATGTCACTTGGAAATGATTGAAGCACCAAAATGTCAGCGGCGTATTTATGTGTGCGTGTACTTGCAACACCGGAATGTATGAAGTGTAAGACGGGCCATGTCACACGACAGATGTCCTTCGTGTCAATGTGTGTGTATTCTGCATGTAAGTCGTTAGTAGCCAGTTGCCACAGGCGTTGTTTCAAAAGGCTATGTCCGTCTTTTTTCCAACGTTCTTGCCAAAATACCTACTACAGTTGAAAATCTGTGGATTTAGATCGTGTTTTGACTGTCAAAAACGGAACATATCTGCTGTTTTTTGATTAGGATCGCTTATTCAGTTCAAAAACAAATTTTCAAAACACAGAAATGTTTAAAATGTATGTAACATATTTAGTGATTGTTTACAAAGCTTGAATTTATAAGAAAGCAATAATTACTTAATGTTATCGAAGAAATTCAAGTGTAAAATTGTAAATAAAGGCGTTGTATCTTGGGAACATTGGCTCAAGTGGTTAGAGGTACCTATGTGGAGAAAGAAAACGGATTTTGTCAAGAATTGTATTGTAAATGTGATAATAAATATGTCTTTTAATTATACGCGAATGCTATTTAATTTGAAATAAAAGTGTATCGCGTCGGAATTTTGTGTCTGTCTTTTTAAATGCCCTCCCCAAACCCCCCTTTTTGAGTTACAACTTATTTTTATGAAAAAATAAAAATAGCAGAAATGAGTTCACCCAAGTTCTAAATAGTTTTTTTTGTAAATATATGTCTACTTACTGATTTTTTTCGCATATCAAACGTAATATTCTAAAGTATGAGGACCTTTTTTGTTAGTAAAGAAGCTTTGGGCTTTAGATATGCCAGTAAAAAGTAAGTTATTATACATACAACTGTTAATAAAAAAGAGCAAAATTTTAATTACTTCATTATTGATTACTTCTGAAATTAATAGAAGATATAGCAATTGTACGAAACGTAAATTTATGACTAAAATAACTACTTGATCTTATTCCAAAATTTTATTCACAAACCAACAATTTGATTGGATGACGCTAAAATAGAGTGAATAGGGATCGAGATGTGATAAACAAGTAAATACTTATTCCTTTTTACTGGCGTAATTCACACCTTTCAAAGTCCTTTACTAATAAAAGATGGAAGTCGTGTACCTAATGAAGCGATATAAATACTTCTAACCAGTTAAGATTTGCCTCCTAATATTAGTGTTCGAAAATACTAAGTTTTCCCGTAATTTTCGGTATTTTTTATATAATAAAAAGAACGTGTAAATAGCTGACAATGTACCTAAATAAACCTATTATAATAATCTAGGCTTCCATTTCAGACTAAATACATAGTAAATTAATAAATTATACTAGATACCTATACTAGTTAGCAAAAATTGTACCATACAAAACTCAAAGAATAACGATATTTAAGTCAGTACCTACCAATACTTACTACTACAATACCACTACTTACCAATAAATTTTGATAGGTAATTATGTAGTATTTATTCAGACGGGTACACGAATTTATTTATCAGATTCTCATTTTTTAAATGTCTGACCTAAATTTATTGCTACAATATCAACTGAAAAATTCACAATGACGACTGTTATTCGGCCATCTTTTTAAAAGTAAACGTCAAAATTGGCGCCAATTTGTTTTTTTTTCGTCGATCAGTTTAGGGAATCAAATCACGCAGGGTTAAATTCTAAAACTGCTGTACATAGTGCCTATTCACATTATACGAGAGAAGTAAATACCTAAGTGCATAGATAATTATCTACCTTACTATTGCGCATTGCAATACCTAGTAAAAGTTGTTAGTTATCAAAAACATAAGAGAGATAAGTACCTACTTATGAATAATACCAATATAAGTCTACAAATTAGATAGCAAATAACACGAATAAACAATAGATAAATTAATAATGTCGATAGTATTTTGTTTTTAGATAACTTGTTTTTTTTTGTAAAATGTTTGCCACAGTTGACACGGTAATTTATGAATCCAAAATTATTTTTCACTCCCACAAAATAGCAAATACATATAGTCTATACAATATATAAATAGCACTTTAAAAAGTAGATAGGCATGAATTAATCTTGAAAGTTACGGGAAAAATAGTATTTTTAATGTTTTAAATACCTATGTAAGTATCTAATAAATTGATTCGCTTTTTGTAAGCACACAAGCGGATTTTCAAATTGCGCTTGCGTTTTTATTTTCTTTTTTAAAACTAGACTGTCGTGTAATTACGACTATTTTTTAACTTTCATACCTTGCTTTAGAATCAATTTTAGTATGTTATCTTAATTTTTCTTTCCGACAATTTGTTTTCGAGAGTGTATGTCGATTTTCGAATTTAAAGTATGTCCGTAAACGTCCCAGAATAATTTTAATTATAGATTCACGTAGTGATAAACCGCGTTTTCTTGACATTGACAGTTAACTGTCACTGTCGAGCTAAAAGCGCGCGAACACAATTACGTCACCAAAAATTTAACAAAATTTTTAACGCTCTGAAACTTAGTTCTTTTTATTATAATACACGCTATCGTAGATGTATTTAAATTATGTAAGAATAATATTTGATGGGTCCCATTTGAAATTTGGCCTTCTATTCAACCATCAATATGTATTCATATTCACATTTGAAATAGTACGAAGTTATTACTACGTATTGTTTCAAAGGTACGTTTTAAGTGGTTTTAATATCAATTCACTCCTTAACCTTTATATCGTTACTACGAAATATTTTAAATGCAACTGCCCAATGTTTATCACGCTAGCATTAATTGACTAACAGTCGAAATGGCGCTTAGTGCGCAGTTCCCTCTTCGTAGTTATCGTATAATATTTAATTGTTGCGTATAAAAATAAGCTAAAATTAGACTGTTTTTAAGTGAAACTTTATAAAAATTGGCAATAAATACGCTACGAGAATTGTACTCGCATTAAATTTAGTAAATATGTACTGGAGATTAATTATTCTGTTGGAGACGTGACGCTGTATATTTGGTTGGTATCAGGCGGTCTGATGTCTATAGTTTTTTAAATCTAACGGTCTGTCCATTCAGCCGTGGTGTTTTTAATTTAAACCATGATTTATTAATCAATGTTTAGTTTCTTTGTCCAAAGATATAGCTCTGGATTATTTTTTTAGTAAAATGCGGAGGAGTGCTGTACATGATCTTGTATATATAGTTTTAATGGAAAATAAAAGCATTCTTTCTGTATTTTGTGGTTTTATTTGTATCCGTTGTACCTACTCTGAATCATTTAATGTTTACTTAGCCCAGTTCAATAGCGTGGTAGCTCTGTTCGTACATACACTAACTGTAGGATGGCAAGTCGACAAAATGCATCGGGCCCCTAGCTGAAAAGGACGTTTGGAGGTTTTCATCTGAATTAAGTCTGAACTTCTCTTTTGTAGGGAAGGGATTCCGTCCGATGAATATGCTTCGGGTCTAGAATGTCATAGGTACGCCCGTACGCCCTGACCCAGTCCATAGCAATCGTCTTTGGAACAAAGTCGTTACTAAGGAAAAGTTTAAGTGATTATTAAATGGCTCATGTCTCTGAGTTCCTACGGTTGTTAATGACTTAAATATGAACAGCCCAGCGCAGTTCACTGATTGACTATGGACCTTCTCTACATAAGAAGGTTTGTCATAATATGAAATAATATCTACGCTTGCCAGCACGTGGAATATCGCAGTATAAAAAATTCAGGTTTGTCGAAGAATGCTGATGTCCAGTCCTTGTTTTTTAATTTGACAAGCTCGCCACCGCCTCTCAAAACCGCTGCAACTCTTGTAAGCCAGGATCTACCGTAGATACAACCATGGAAACACCGGAACACTGAAGTCCCAGGGACATGAATAAGTCTTGGTTTCCGCAACGAAATAAATCAGAAGGAAAGAGAAAATAGATTATAAGAGGAGGAGAGAAAAAATGTCCAGTCTGTTTAACGTATAGTCCCTTAATCGGCTTTTGTGACGCCGAGAAGAGTGGTGTGGTGACAATATATATATTTTACTCTAACATTACCGCACGATTATAAAATTACTCATAAGAATAGTGAATTCCCTAAAGTGGTTGAATGACGCGTAAAGAAAAGCGTAAGTACTTTAAGACTTGATAACTTCAGACTCGAGTTTATTCCTCTATTCATGTTATCAAATGTTGGTGCTATGCTAATGTAGGTACAATTATACATACCTACGTAGCAAAAACTTTGATTGGACGAAGGGGAACCCCGAATTCGGGGCTTTTTGGCACCTACCTTATCATGTCTGTTCTCGTAAAACAATGTGTACAATACTTTAAATTATCTACATGTTTTCGAAGCAATTCAGATATTATTTAGCTCCTGCTAGGCTATTTTGTAAAATTTTAGTGTTGTAGCTCGATTGCGGTCAGCCATGTCAAATTCAAATTACTTTATTTGTAGAACATAGGTTACAAAAGATGTTACAAGCTTTATATTGACCAGCTATGTCTTGCCACCAACGGCGTACAAATATATTAAATTAATTTACCAGTTATTAATTGTACAAAGATTTCAATAATCAGACTTGTCATTAAATTAAATCAAAATATACATAAGGTCATGCACTGTCAATATTATTATATTACATTTCATCATAAGAATAATCTCGACAAATGACGGGCGAGAATGCAATCGAGCTCACTTCGAGAGTAGAAAAAATAGGTACTTTTTTCCTCTTTGAAAACCGAGTCTCCAAACAAAAAAAATAGGTACTTGCCAACTAGTCAAATTCAATACTAAAATTAAGTTGGTCATAAAATCTGTTAATTGAAGTGTGATTATTTTTTTATATGTTATTCAAAGTAATATTACATATTACAGTCGAAATAATTTATTTTTGATTAAGGAAAGTAGGTAAATAAAATAACACATCCTTCTTTACAAAAAGTTTATTTAAAAATTCAGTTCAACTGTTTACAGCATCGGCGTAAGCAATTTATGTCACAATAATTTACTACCTACTTAAACTACTGAACTACCATCATAACATAACATAACATCTCGCCTTTTTATCCCAAGGGCTAGACAGAGGTGCACATTATAGTACTCAATGCCACTGTACAATGTAACACCCATTTTTCACTATTTATTTTATGAGTCCCATGTAATAGGGGTGAGCCTATTGCCATATACCGTCTACCGACCACAATTCCAGACTCTGTGCTACTACTGAGATTTTTTCAAACAGCCAGTAATACTTTTAGTAATAGTTCCCGACCCGGGAATCGAACCCACCTGCGACCTCTCGGCCAACGAGGCAGTACTATAGTCTATATTATACACCTTAGTATTTTGGTATTGTCGCGGAGAACCTAACGGGTAACCGGGGCTCCGGCTCGACGTGCAGGAGAAGGAACGGGGTGGTTTTTAGTCAGTAAGAGTCTGACACTCTTCCCGCCTCACCCAGGCGGGAGCAGTCATTAGATGATTTTCCCCCCTTAAAAAAAAATACTATTATATAAAGCGGAAGAGTTTGTTTTTGTTTGAACGCGCTAATCTCTATAACTATAAGTTTGATTTGAATAATCCTTTTTGTGTTGCCACCCCGTTCCTTCTCCTGCACGTCGAGCCGGAGCCCCGGTTACCCGTTAGGTTCTCCGCGACTATATAATAGTATAAGATAAGATAATTAAAAAAAGTAAGTAGTACCAAATTTTAGAATAGTGTCTATGTATTGACTAGGTAACGACTGACAGTCTTTTTCATAATATGCATTGTAACACTTAATTCATCTAAATTAAATTAGTTAAGCAAACTAAAACTTAAAAGTAGATATCATATTTAATACAATTTATTTATGTCAGAATGACAATAGGGTAGATGACTAATTTTTATTTTAATGTCCGTCTGGTAGATATTGTAAAAACATTAGACACGTATTTTTTATTTTCTTACGGAAACGAATAGTTTCGAAGATATATTGATTTGAAATATCGCATGACGTCACTTTTGAGTACGATATATACTCTAAAATGACGTAGCTACGTCCCACTCCTATACTTTGATTCGTTTTATCTAAGTATTGTTTTCTTATACGACATAATATAATTGAACATAAATTGACATAATTAAATAGAAATACGTGTCTAATATTTTTCATTACCTAACTGACGGACTAATTAGATTCTTAATTTTCATACCCTGTCATCATCCCTATTCCTATTAGGAAAATGCTTCCAAAAAGAAAGATTTATACCAGTAGATAAATGACTAGTTACCTAGGCATATTAAGACTATTAACTTAAATAATAAACAAACAGTCTCTTTGATATTATGCACTGTTACAAGTAAATTACACCTAGATAATTATAATGAAATGCATTTATTTTATAACTAATAACTATATTAAGTACCTACCAACACTATGCAACATGTAACTCAAATAACGCACCAATCCTGAAAATAGTTTGTTCAGAATCGTTGACTGAATCGATTTATATAATTTTTAGTATAGGTAATTTTTTATCCCAAAAATAATTAAAACTACGGAAATTATTGTCATATTAACCCTGTATTGTTAAAACAAATCGAAATGGACCGTAAGTCAAAGCAATAAGACTTTTAAAATCGCAGTTTTATTTTTACATAACATCACGCCTTTTATCCGAAGGGGTAGGCAGAGGTGTACATTATGCCACTGTACAATGTATGTAACACCCACTTTTCACTATTTATGTTATGAGTCCCATGTAATAGGGGGTGAGCCTATTGCCATATACCGGGCACAATTCCAGACTTCGTGCTGCTACTGAGAATTTATAAAACCCAGTAGTACTTTGCCCGACCCGGGAATCGAACCCGAGACCCCTTGACCGGCAGTCGCACTTGCGACCACTCGGCCAACGAGGCAGCAGTTTTATTTGTATTCATACAAATTCTATCATTCAATACAAAATAAAGAAAAATAAACCTTATGACAAGACCAGTAAGGATGCATATACATGTTAAATTAAAAATTTACTGATGTATTATGATTATAACATAATATTATAATTGGGGTGTTTGAGGGTGTGCGTTAATTACGTTACATGTTGTATAGGTCTCTAGGTAAGGTAAGAAAAAATGCATCAAAAAGTTTAAGTAGGTAAAACGTAGGTACACACGGCTACACATCGAGCTTTACATAACCAGTATAAACTGAACGTTTAATGTGCGGAAAGATGATGCGACGCGACACCAGGATAAACTGGTTTTGTATAGATTGATGTGAACTTCTAAACAGGCAATATATTTTTTTACTCAGGGCCGTATTATCTCTAAGGCTAACTAGACAAGTGCTTAGGACGAAAGGCTACAAAGCCATGATGCCGTGAGACGCGAGAGCCCACAGACTATAGAGGGACGGCAGCGGCGCCAAAAAAATTGTAGTGTCTATGAAGTGCTTGCATAAGGCGCCCTCTAGTTTTAATCCGGCTCTGATTTTACTCAACTACAGTCATTACTATATTATACTATTCAAGTCAATTATTACCTGTTTAGAAATTAATATTTCATAGTGATACATTCAAAGTAAAGTAAGTAAGAGTATTAAACAGTCTCATAATATAGGTAAGTACTTTATTTATGGGATAAGCCTGTAAACGAGCAACAGATGGTACGCAATCGGCGTCGCGGCGCCCATGAACCACAACAGAGGTGTTACAAGTGCGTTACCGGCCTTTTAGGGATTAGGAATTTAAGGATTGTTGGGGATTCAGGGATTGAGGAGATTGGGGAGGGGAGGGGGGTGAAATTGCGCCTATGGTAACCTCACTCACATGACGAAACTCACCGCGCAGTTGACCGCTAATGTGTAAGGGGGCTTAGTAAAGCTATGTTCTCGTTCCAAAGTGTAGTTTCTAATGGAGAAGAACGAGCAAGATACTCCATAGTTACATTACTGTTTTAAAAAAATATTTCTTTACAAACTTACAAATACGTAAAATGATTGAAGTTTTTTTTTTATCCAGATTCATCGCTCCTAAGATATCGCTATTTTTAAAGTTAAATCTGTTTTTGTACGCCCTTAGTTAAATAATTGACATTATTCATCGTGTCAGTTTAAAGAGTTCTTATTGGAGGTTTATTAGCTATGGAGTTGGAGGTCTATTAATTAGCTATTTTTTTTTTCTGCCAAACAGAGCATTCACTATGCTAGGCAGATGGTACGGCAACAAGTTTTGCAAAGACTTCATATTTTCATTGTTATCGCTAAACTCTACTAAACTATCTGCCAGCTGGTGTATAGGTTCACAAATTTCACTCTTAATTTTTTCCTGCAAAGCCTTTCCTTTCTCCGTGGTTAAGCAAAGTTTGGTGATCGTGCGAGACACGCCCTCAACTTCGGCTGTATTTAAAATATTTATCAATCTCTCTCCATCAACATTATGGATGCATTTCATCATATTATCTGTCAATTCTTTCCAAGATGGATTCGCTGCTCCCAGAACGAACGCTCCAGTCTTTATAATCCCTACGATTCCTTCTACATTATCTTTCGTCACATATTTCCTTGTGCTTCTCAATAACAGATTTGTTATATTAACTAATCCTTCATTAATAGCAATATTCAGACATGTCTCTGGATTACGACCGGCTGCTTCGGAGTCGGCTTTCTGTTTCACAATTAATTCAAACAAAATCTTCTGGCTGCTCTCTTGGTCTGCTATTTCTGCAACTTCTGGGTCATATTTCAATTTGTAATCGAATGCGTTTCTCACGCCTGGAGGGCAAATCATTATTATGCCGTTGACTAAGAAGTTCCAGCATGATTCCAGTTTGATGTGATCTAACTCCCCTCGCACTATAGCTTTCAGAAGATCTGTTGCCTGTTCAACAATGAAATATTCAGCAAATAGTAGATTATAGAACCTTGGTACACCGTCTACAACGCAATCTATCAAATGAGATTTCATTTCGCCTGATTCTAATTTCCTTATGATTTCTTTTACTTGGGTGATTTCAGCTTCAGTGAGAAGCTTTGATATGTCATTCTCTTTACATATTGCAAACAGAGCTAATTTCTTATGAGTTTCAAAAAAGTCATCTCGAAGTTTCTCGTGTTCATCCTCGATATTTTTATCGCCCGTTTCGCAAATATATTTGATATTTCCTTTTAGGAAACGTTCATAAGAAGTTAGGGCGTTTAGATAAACCGCTGATCTCTTCCTTATCTCTTCCGTATTAAAACTCAATTCAAACTTATCTGTTATTTGAAATTTAAAGTAGTTAGCAGCTATGTACATGTGTAATGGTGTCCCGGATAACTCTAATCTGTGTTCTTCCTCAGGGTTTCGAAGAAAATCGTCCATAACTGTGTAAGAATTCAACTTCCATTTACTTTTAATTTTTTCCGCCATAAAAACTGATGAAAGACTGTTCATTTCGTTTTTAAAATGTTCCATTGCAGTGAGGTATATTATGTGCAATGGCATGCTTAACATCGGAACCAAAGGTCTATTTTCAATCAACGACTTCCCCTTAGGATTGAAAATCTTCGTAATATAATTAAAGAACATGTTGATATTATTAAACTGTTCGTGGTTTAACTTCTCCAATTTCAAATTAGTTTTCCAGAATCGGTTTAAAAAGCTTTCTTGTTGTAAGGTCGATAATCTTTCGAGAGTGTATGAGGAGCCTAGTTCTTGCTCTAAAATGTGTTTGATGTAGCAATTACTGGTGATCCACATTCTTTTGTTAGCTCGTTTCAACGCGATCAGTAACTCTAATCCTTCCTTAGTGTGATGTGGATAAATTCTATCAAAACCATCGAACAGAAATATGACTTTGCCTTCATTATAAAAGTGGATGAACCATTCCAATTCAGCGGGCACTTCTTTTATACTATTTCTATTTAACTCTACTGTTTCGTCATCTGCTTCAATAAACTTAAGTTTTTTAACGTCTATAGGAGTTTTTAGAGCGACTTTGCATAAAAACCTCATTACATCTGTTGTGTTAATTTTCTTACGCCATTTTTCATAGTCACTCGTGTATAATGACATGTTTACTCTAACAATCCATGGTTCTGGATCGATTTTCTTCGTTTCCAAAGATAAATGAGTTAGAAGTATAGTCTTTCCCATACAAGGCTTTGAAGTTATTAGTACAACTTTGTCATTGATATCATTAAGATTATTAACTGTAACTTCTTCATCATCTTTGATTAGATTTCTATGGATGTAATACTTTTTTATTTCATTGTATTTGTGTGAGTCTAATGTGTGTCCTATTTCTATCTTATTATTGTTTAGTATTCCTAATAGAAGCTTGGCGTTTATTAAACTTTTGGACCTATCAGATATAAGCGAGTTTAAAGTCACATCTTTACCCTGGTAACATATTTTGTAGTCATTTAGAATTCTCATCTGTGTTTTCGAACTTAGATCACTATAATTGACGTTTTTATCATTGTAAATAATAGGTTTATTGTCTTGTGAGAATTTTTTATCTAATTCTTTTTCTGTAATTACAATAATAGTGCAGTTGCAGTTCTCGATTATTTTCTTCAGCGTTTCTTCGTGTCGTTCATCTAAAGTTGTTTCACAGAGGATGGCTAAGGTAACATCTTTCATTTCTCTAAGTTCATTCATTAATTGTTCATAATCATTATCGGGAAGTATATGGAAATAATCTAAATTAACGAAAGTAAAATTATTTTGATTGTTGACTAGCTGCATTATTTTCGCTGCACTTAAAATAACAGCATCAGTGATTATGTTAATAATATTATTTTTATCTATTAATTCGTTAAGCTTCATCGCGTTTATTGCAACTTTATTGAATTCTATTGCTAACTTTTTAAGAGATCTAATGAACATAACGTTAAGCACTGTCAGGACAGGACTATTGACAATATCTTTCTTAGCTTCATCAAAAATGGAGTCAGTTTTAGTCAAGTAACGAGCTTGAGATTGCGCCTTCCACCATTTTTGTATTTCGTCATGAAATCTTAGAAAAATGGCGTCAGAGTGAACGCGGAATAGAAATTGATTTTCGTTTTTATTGGCGTTGTAATGTGCATCAATTTCCGCCTTAAGTTTACTCTCCACAGCATCTTCTTTAGCTTGATTCGTATAAAACCAGAGTTTTCCTAAATATTCCTTCGCAAGTTCTTTATCGTTTTCATTTGGATCAAACCAAGTTCGAGGAAAGCTATTCATTTTTACATTAAATCTATAATTATCTAAATCATCTTCTATAAGTTCTTTAATTTCTTTTAACATATATTTCGAGTTCTTTCCTAAGGTGCTTTCATTAGTGTTAAATGCAAACGTTTGGCTTTGTTTATCGTATTGTAATAGATTGCCCACCGTACCCCCAATTCCTTTAGTAGTTAAATGATTTAACTCTAATATCTTCTTAGGACCTACATTATGATTACAAATATCAATTACTATAGGATATTTTAGTTCTTCTTCATCATTATTTTCTATTCGCGTTTCCTCTAAACGTTTTTTACCATCTTTTATTAACTCATAAAATTTATTAGCAAGGAATTTCAATCTTTCCGTTGGCACTTGGTCGTTTAAATTAGAAGGAAAATCTGTGTTACCAAAAGTGTTAGGTAAAGTAAAACGAAGTTGATTTAACTTATTTTTACCGCTTATATTAATAGCATCATTAATAATCGATTGCGTTACATGTATTTTATGTAAATAATGGTTAATTTCACGGATCTCTTCCTGTTTATAATGTTTCTTTGAGATTTTATCAGTGTCGACGCTTAGCCTGTTATTTTTTTCATCAAAGAATATGACGTCACCTATTAACGGGCTTATGGTTTGCGCGCATGGATTACGAACAATTTCTTGAATTTTATCCTTAACTTCTTCTTTTGAAAGTTTAGTTTTCTTACTCTGTTTAAAAACTGCTATTCTATAAAGAGTGTCCCTCAAAGTCATTAGTATATCGTCATCAGTTTCGAAAAACTCATCGCGGAATTTGGCATCGAAAGAGGTTTTATTGCGAACTTTTTCTTCGATTACGAGTTGGGCCAAAGCCGGGTGATATAATTGTATTAAGTCTATGGACATAATCTCATTTGACTTGTTAGATAAGATACATGTTAAGAATGCAGTACCTAGAGCTTTAACACGTTCCTTCTGCATGAAATTTGTTAAAAAATCAATATCACTCGGTTCATAATCGAACTGAAACACCTCGTCTTTATCTCCAGTAAATATAAGCTCGTGCAACTTACTACAGATTGGTTTATTGTCAACAAGTTTACGATCAAAACTTTCTTGAAGTGGTGTGTAGAAAATGAAATAACAATCAATTTCGTTGAACTCACCTTCGAACATAGGATCAAATACTTTTCCTTTTTTCACAAACTTTTGCTTAATTTTAAGAAAACTGTCAAAATATCTAGCTAAACTAAATTGTCCTGAGGTACCTCTGATGCTGGGAACGGTAAGCTTCGCTTTGTCAGTAACTTCTCGATGCTTGGCTTGCTTGAAGCACACGACATGTTTAGTCCTGTTGTCTTCTTGCATCTGGAATCGGAAGCAGACATCGTCGAAATCTCCAATGTCTCTTATGTTTGTTGCTAGGTAAAATTCTTCTATATCAGCATCGTGTAGGGCTCTATGGAGCACTAAACTGAGTAACTTAGTTTCATAGAACTGTCCGCTCACACCCGAAGTGCCTGCTCTTTTTGGGTATAGGATTTGTTCAGGCGCGTTCTCAATAATTTGAGAAACGGAACGATTCTCGTATAATTCCACACGTTGTTTCTTAGAATTGCCACCTCCAACACTTGGTAATCGCTTTCCATCGTTCAGTATCTTAAGTATTTCTTTACCAATTTCAGTTTTGTTCTCTTTAGCTATATGTAATGGTGTTTTATTGTCCAAATTGTACACTAACGTAGCTCCGTTTCTGATCAGAAACTCCACAATCTCTTTTTCACCTTTTTCTGTAACTATATGCAAGATTGTATTGTTATTGTTATTAGCGTCTTGGCTGTTTATATTGGCACCTTCACTCAAAACTGCGGCAATGTTTTTAATTTTTTCTTCAGCTGGTTTATTTTGTCTGGCTCGTATGAAGAGTAGTCCATTTTGAATTAATTCATTTTCATTGTCATCCATTGTTCTATATCACTGATTTTATCACGTTTGTTTTGTTTTTATCTATTGCACAATGTAAACACTTGAAGATAATTTTTATAAGACACGACTCGTTTGCGGTGCGCGTGCGATGACTAACTTGTCTGTTGAAACAGGAATTGCGCGCGAACTTCACTTCTGAGTAAGTTCAGTGATACCACATTGCGAATTTATTTGATACCTATTTATATAATTTGTTTTCTGTTTTAGCATATTCAATATTTTTTTGTTAAATGTGCGATATCTAATGTTGGTAAATACTGATACAGGCTTGCTATTTACAAATACAATAGTTATTTGTATATTTGCGTTAATCCAGTGCAACGCAAGCTCGCTGAGTAAGGCGTCTTAGGTGTAATTCCCGGGACGGGTGATAAAATGGGATTAATAAGCAATCGTATTAAATCAACATTTGACAAGATCACAGCAATTCAAATTATGACAATGAGACATCATAATTTTTTTTATAGCATAAGCCGTTAATCGAGCAGATGGATCACCTGATGGTAAGCAATCGGCGCCGCCCATGGACACCTGGAACACCAAGGTGTTACAAGTGCGTTACCGGCCTTTTGGGAATTGGGAATTGGTGGATTGTGGAGGAATCAGCGGGAGACTAGGGGAGGGGGGTAATTGGGCCTCCGGTAACCTCACTCACACGACGAAACACAACACAAGCGTTGCTTCACGTCGGTTTTCTGCTCGGCCGTGGTATCACTCCGGTCGAGCCGGCCCATTCGTGCCGAAGCATGGCTTGCCCACACTTTTTACTAATGTATAAGTATAATATAGTTAAAGCTACCGGTTTAACAAAAAGATAAAAATAAAATGGATATTGTTTTTACCCGACTGCCAAAGAAGGAGGGTAATGTTTTTCGAGTGTATGTAAGTATGTATGTATGTCTTTTCCTTTGTGACCACCTGTAGCCTAAACGGCTTGATGGATTTTGATGTATGAGGTATCGTTAGATTTGTCTTGATTACGGGAGTGTCATAGGATACATTTTATCCTAAAAGTCCCACGGGATAAAGACATAATAATATTTTTTCTAAATTTCCCTTTAAAAAAATATGTATGCGGTATCATTAGATTCATTTCAATCACGGGAGTAATTAATATAGGATACGTTTTTTCTCAAAATTCCCACGGGAACATGTTAATTCTGCGTCAACGCAAAGCAACTCATGCGTCAGCAAGCAAAAAGATAGGGCGTGGCCTGGCATGCGGCGCGCGGCGCGGTGCGGAGGGGGATATGCTCGAGTATACAGCCCGATTGCGGGCACACGCATGAGGGCACACGTCGTTGACGGTCGTCTCTAAATAGCGATTTTATTCGATATATCCCTATTTGTATATATCGAAATAAAAACAGCTAAAAAGTTATAAATAAAAAAATTATTATTAAAAAAACAAAATACCCGACTGCACACTAAAAAAAGAGTAAAACAAGCCCCACAATAATATTGATCAATCAAATGCTAAAAACTAATTATGTAATACCGTTTAAACAATACCTATATTAAAATACACTACAATATGTGTTCGTAATCGATAGTTAAATAAACAGAAACTTATTTTGAATACAAATTTACTGAATATAATTTATAAATGTTGATGGAAAGCATCGCAGGCGGGGACCAACAGAGGCTTATTTATAGTCATATATATATATATAAATTATATTCAGTAAATTTGTATTCAAAATAAGTTTCTGTTTATTTAACTATCGATTACGAACACATATTGTAGTGTATTTTAATATAGGTATTGTTTAAACGGTATTACATAATTAGTTTTTAGCATTTGATTGATCAATATTATTGTGGGGCTTGTTTTACTCTTTTTTTAGTGTGCAGTCGGGTATTTTGTTTTTTTAATAATAATTTTTGTTACTTAAGGACGTTGAAAAAAAGGCGGACGTAGTCTCTAGAAACACCGACTGAGGCACCTGGTTACTATAGACTTACACGCAGAATACACACACATTGACACGAAGGACATCTGTCGTGTGACATGGCCTGTCATTACACTTCATACATTCCGGTGTTGCAAGTACACGCACACATAAATACACCGCTGACATGTTGGAGCTTCAATCAATTGCAAATGACATTACTTTACTTTTTTCTTTTTTTTTCAACGTCCCATAGTCCTACCATAAACACGCAGCAATTTTTATTCTGACAACCTTATGATACACAGATTAAAAATAACATGTTTAATTCTGCTAACTTCACGGGTTTTGTTTATTAACATGTGTTATATACACTTATACATGATAGATAACACAGACCTAAGTATAGTTATATAAATAAATACAAAAGTATTTGCGCGCATAAATCTCGAAGAACTACACAGAGATATATTTTTGTACCTAAAGATAAAGATAAAGATATATTTATTTAGTAAAACATGAGTAATTACAATGAATGTGTTTTTTGGTTAGTACAGAGTCTACATGTTTTGCCATTGATGGCGTACTAAATCAATCACTTTAGGCAGATAATACCAATCTACAATCAATAAATATACAAAATCAAATGTCAAAGGTTGAATGAAAAAAAAAAATATAATGTAAATGAATAACAATAAAAATAATAATTTAAAAATCACAAGTCAAACAGTTTAAACTGTCAAACACCAAGCGGTCTCCGGTGACCGCAACCTATTGTTCTATAATTGTGTCTACAAAACCGGTACTCGACGAGTTAAATTATGTCAATTGGTGAACAAAATATGTAATACCAAAATATATAATACCTAAAACATTATTGTTGTTTTCGGCTTTGTTTTGTCGGTATTTTCTGGAGAAAACATATATTTTCAAACAACATCTGTACGTAGTGGTAATAGGGTAGTATTTTATTATGGCATATGCCGTAAACGAGCACACGGATCACCTGATGGTAAGCAATCGGCGTCGCCCATGGACACCTGAAACACCAGAGGCGTTACAAGTGCGTTACCGGCCGTTTGGGGATTAGGAGTTTAAGGATCGTTGGGCATTCAGGAATTGGGGAGATTGGGGAAGGGGGAGGGAACTGCGGTAACCTCACTCACACGACGAAACATAACGCAAGCGTTGCTTTACGTCGGTTTTCTGTGAGGCCGTGGTATCACTCCGGTCGAGCCGGCCCATTCGTGCTGAAGCATGGCTCTACCACACTTAAGCATAGCTCGCACACACTTGTAACGCCTCTGGTGTTCCAGGTGTCCATAAAAAAAGAAACTTCTTGACCAACCACACAGTTCTTGTTTCAAATAAGTTTTTAAAATAAATTAAACATTGATAAAAGACAATATTGCACCAACTGAACCTTCTGTCTAATAATCTGTCTTACAAAATGAGACGTAAAAATAACTCAAGGTCAGATTTCGGCGTTGCTAACAGTAGGGGAATCCCCTAAAATTAAATTTTGTTTTTTATAGTTCCGCGTCGATCTCTAGTTCGTTAGACTATTTATGATTAAAAATATAGGTATCATTAAGCCGTATAGATAAATAAAATAATATGTAATTATTTATGTTGGGTAATATGTATGTGTGGAGACTAATGATACGCTCGAGAGTGTAATGCCAACTGTCTTTTATTTCATACCTCATACGCTCGTTACATACTGACGCTGAGTTCCAGAAATATTAAAATAATTATATCTATCTGATTAGTGTAGTTTCCTAAAATTTTATTTAGAACTCCATCTGGTAGATTAATTTAAAACTTTAGACACATATTTTATCTTTTCTCACAAAATTAAATACTTTCGACTATATATTAATTTCAAATACCGCGTGACGTCACATCGTGTCACATTTTGTAGCACGTTATGACGTAACGACCTCCCACTCCTAAACTTAGCGCCATTTTATCTAAGTATTGCAACTTAATACGAGAAAATAAAAAAATACGTGTTTAATATTTTTTCATTATCTACCTAACGGACTAATTAGATTTTTAATTTTGATACTGTGGAAACTACTCAATTAAAATTAAATTTTGACATATGCGGATTACAAGTATGTGTTGCTTTCGTTCGTGCGTCACTGCAGGGGTGCCAACTGAAAATCAATGTTGGGTGGTCATTGTGTCCAGCTTTATGCTGAGTTGGTGACTCATTCGGTTGGGCATGTCCGCCAACACCGCGCAGTATGCATCTATTTTTATTATCTTGTTTTAGTATCATTATTTAGTTTTTTATCATTTTTTTCTCTCTCTCTCTTGTTTAAAACCTTTATAATGTTATTTTGTCAAATTGTATATTCTTTTTTTTTTTGTTCCTGGCATTCGTGACGTTTGTCGAATAAAACTCTTTTCATTTCATTGCTCTTCTCGGCTCCTAGTAATCGTAGCGTGATGTTTTATAGCCTGCAGCCTTCCTAATCAGACCAGTAGTTATGGAGATTAGTGCGTGCAAACAAATAAACAAACAAACTCTTCACCCTTACATAATAGTACTTACTATAGCTTCTGCCAGCGGCTTCGCCCGCATTCTCAGGATTAAAAAGTAGCCTATGTGTTACTTCAGGCCGTAATCCACCTCTGTTTCAAATTTCATCTCCTATATTTCTAGCAGTGTAGTCTTGTGACGTCTAATGATGATGACAATTGGGTACTTTCGTAACATAACATAACATAACATCACGCCTTTTATCCCCGAAGGGGTGAGGTGCACACAGAAGTAACACCCACTTTTCACTATTTACCTATGTCATGAGTCCCATGTAATAGGGGGTGAGCCTATTGCCATATACCGGGCACATTTCCAGACTCCGTGCTACTACTGAGAATTTTTTTAAAACCCATTAATATATTTTGCCTGACCCGGGAATCGAACCCGAGACCCCTTGCCCGGCAGTCGCACTCGCGACCTCTCGGCCAACGAGTCAAGTACTTTCCTTAATCCTTACTAATATTATAAATCGGAAATTGAGTTTGTTTGTTTGGTTGTTTGTTCCGCTTTCGCGCCGTCCGTAACTACTAAACCGATTGCTTTGATTTTTTTCAGACGTAAAGTTAGAAGTCCAGATTAAATTATAGGGTACTTTTTATCCCGGAAAAATATTATATTTCCGAGGGAAAACAAAAGTATTGGTATAGATGGC